CGATTTGTTCTCTAAAAATGGACCTATTAGCACCTCCTAACTACCCACACTTTCCTCAGCAGGGCACCAGTTCGTGTGGGGCACTGAGTGTTGTCAAAGGAGTATTTATATGAGACTGACATAGAATGCACAATCAGACCTCTGTCTGATGGAGTTGCAGCCTCTCGAGAATCTGGAGTAGCAGCCAAGGGGTGGGGGGTATGTGAAGGAGCAGGAGAAAGAAAACTTCCAATTAGGACTCAGTTCCATTCAAGCTCTCCAAATGTCCTTTCTGCTGAGGATTTCTCAGAACTATATTTTACTGTCGCCTAATAATCTAANACACAAAAAAAATTATCTGGAAGTACTGTTAATTACATACTTGGACTCCTGGGATGAAAGAAGCTAATAAACAGTTAATTTAACTAAGGATAGCTTTACTGGCATTAAGGAAAAATAAGTCAAAGTTCCTTTCCCTATATAGGTAGGCCTAAGTTTTTCCAGTATGTCCCACGATTTGTTCTCTAAAAATGGACCTATTAGCACCTCCTAACTACCCACACTTTCCTCAGCAGGGCACCAGTTCGTGTGGGGCACTGAGTGTTGTCAAAGGAGTATTTATATGAGACTGACATAGAATGCACAATCAGACCTCTGTCTGATGGAGTTGCAGCCTCTCGAGAATCTGGAGTAGCAGCCAAGGGGTGGGGGGTATGTGAAGGAGCAGGAGAAAGAAAACTTCCAATTAGGACTCAGTTCCATTCAAGCTCTCCAAATGTCCTTTCTGCTGAGGATTTCTCAGAACTATATTTTACTGTCGCCTAATAATCTAACAATCTTTTGGATTCAGGAATAGTGATCTCCTCGGGGAATCACAAATGTGGGACAAGTCAATATAATAAAGACTGAAATGAAGGAAAATCCAAATAACTAAGGGGAACAAAATTTATATCCATCACCTGTAAATTCAACATGTCCAAAAATCACACTCTTCGAAACCAGCATGGTTCCCAACTCCAGTTCTGAACAAAGTGCTTCTCTTTTGCTCATCCTCAAGCTCAAAAACTTAGGGTCATCTTAAGAGTCCTCTGTCTCCTTCAAGCCCTATAACTAATCAGGCCTCAAATTCCACAGATTCTTCCTTCTCTTATTTCCATTCACTTATGTAGTTTTTTACAGCACACCTACTTATGCTAGTCTCCAGGAGGCTCTGGCGGCAGGAACAGGATAGGATGTGGAGATGTGTACAGAAATAGCTACTAAGCAAGTCTGCTAATAAATATATGAGTGATGGAGAAATAAGCACCATAAAGATTATGAAGTGTGAGATGTCTGGCTGGAGTAATCAGGAAACACTTGGGAGGCAAGCAGTGAGCACTCAAGCTGAGCCTGGACTCCTAGGTCTAACTTGGATTAGAGAGCTAGTAGAGGGACCTGGGAAGGAAATCACTCAGGGGACAGCAAATCAAGGTGGCTGTCCGGAAACAAAGGTCCAAGAGAGGAGTGGTGAGAGTAAAGGCCGGAACCAGGTATTGGCAGCTTTTGAAAGCCTGGCTGAGAAGCCTTTAACCCTTAGATTGCCAGATCATTTACCTTCCATTATTTACACTTTTACATCTGACACCTACTTTCATCAGGAACCCAGGTAAAAAACAAAGTTGGTGGTGGCTGCCACAGGGTGTTCCTTCTGCATTTACAACTTGTAGGAGAGGCTGCGGCTGTGAGTGGCTGAATAGACGCTGACCTCTTCAGCACTAACAAAGCTTGATATTAGAAAGCACATCTGATTCTAGGAACACTTCAAAACTGTCAGTGTTCAACAACCCTAACTAGGGCTGTGGTCTAAGATTGAGAATATAAATTTAATCTTTCTCAAATTCACTCTCATTATGTGACTCCTTTGCTCAAGGAAATACAATGATTTCTATTACCTACAACAGGTGATCACATCCCTCTGCCTGGAATCCAAGGTTATGCATAATCCAGCCCACCAAACCTTTTCAACCTTACATTACTACCCGTTTCTTATGTTACTACCAATCTCCTTTCTTAGGAGGGTTAAATTACAAAAGGGTTGGTGTTACTTAGCTAAAATGAGTTAAATTTAACTAGACAATAGTTTAGGCCATTTATTTCAGGCATAAAAATATAAATTTTACAAAGATATTTATAAGAACTTGGCATTCCTTAATCATGTCTTCTCAAGTGTGTTTTGAATTTGAAAAATTCAGAATTATTGTGCTCATAATATATAAATGTGAAAGAATAGTTACAACTAACACTGATATAACAATGTTCTTTATCTTGGTAGGGGGTAAGTATATGCATTTTTCAAAATCAGTAAACATACACTTAAAATTCATGTCCTTCACCCTAGCGGGTTTGGCTCAGTGATTAGACTGAAGGGTCTCGGGTTCAATTCCAGTCAAGGACACATACCTCAGTTGCAGGCTCGATGAAGGAGGCAACCACTCGATATGTCTCTCTCACGTCCACATTTCTGTTTCTCTCTCTCTTTTCCACTCTCTCTGAAAAGCGATGGAAAAAATATTCTCTGGTGAGGATTAAAAAATAAAAATAAAAAATTTGTGCACTTCACTGGATATAAATTTTACACTAAAATAAACTGTAAACAAACTCTAGTTAGTAATATGCCTACCAAAGTATTTAGGGGAAAGTGTACTGATATCCACAATTTAAATGGATGGATAGATAAATGATAAGCAAGTTATATTAAAATGTTAATGGCAGAATCTAGATGGTAGGAGTATGTGTTATGAAATTCTTTAGACTTTGCTGTAAGTTTGAAAATTTTCATAAAACACTGGGGAAAGTGACATTGATAAGGCACTGTACTTGTTATTTGTAAGCACTGATAATACACTATACTTCATAAAGCTGTAAGCAGTTAAACTTAGTGGAATGGCAGCATCGGGCATTTGCTCCTTCATGCTTTCATGCCACCTTGCACAGACCTCTTATAGCCCATTTCATGGTGTAGTGTTGGGCACATATCTAGTCTAATTTGTATTTGCATTCCTGTCGCTTTGCACCTGCTTGGAGAACAATGTGTTCAATAATGAGGGAATGACTGAACACAAGTGGAGTTGCTCAGGACCAAAGTATTATACTTCCTGCAGATTCACTGTATTCACTTATCACATATTCTAAAAGTCAGTATGTTCCATTTAAAGAGAAATTCGTCCTTTACTTTTCCCCAAGCACGAAAAATTTCCAAAAATAGACAAAACTCTATATTTATGAGGTTATTTTGTTGTCTATTACTTACCATGAGGTCTGAAGGTCTCCTAACATTCAATAACTTTGAAGATTTTTTTTTTTCCTAAAAGAGGGAAGTCTCAGAATTCCGAGGAAATCTGGAATTTGTTTTATTCAAATCTTAGATAAGCTGTCAGAACTAAGAGATCCCTGAACTGGTCAAAAGCAGGAAACTGGAAATCTTGGAAAAAAATAAAAACAACCACCACATAAAAAAGTCATGAAGCAAATTAATCAAGAACTTTACCAAGAAACGGACGGAAAGTCTTAAGGAGGATACGCAGAACATCTTAAACTCCCCCAGACTGGCTTCTCTTCTCTCTCCAATTACAGAGATCTGGCCGCTGGGCCACTCCCAACATGCCACGCGACTGGAGCTAATGCCGCTGAATACGCTGCTTCTCATGTCAACCTCCCAGAAACAACGTGCTTTCGCGGCGTGAGCACCAGATTCTAAAGTGGAGCATCTGCGTCCGAGTCCCGGTTTCCCCACCTGCCTGATCTGCGAGTCTCTCGCCCTCGCTGGGCCTGTTTCTCGTGAAATAGGACTCTCCTAACTCGGGCCGGCGCACAGGGTAACTATAAACGAAGATGAGGGGCGTAAAGGCCTTTAAGGAAGATGCAAGGGGCTCTCAGTTTGTTACTCTTACGTACACGCGGCTCACAACCTGGCCCAGACCAATCTCTTCAAGTCACCGCTGTCCCTCTCTCCCTTCCCGCCCGGCGCCAGTGCTGAGGCCGCTCCCTCCTGTCGGCCCCCATTCGGAAGCCGCGCGGCGACATCTGCCGTACCTGCAGCCACTTGGTCAGCGGGGCCCTCCTGCTGACCCATGACGAAGTCGTGCACGAGACCCCACAGGGCACCCGTGGGCGCCACCGCCTCCAGCTCGGCGGCGGCCGCCATGACGCGAACTAGAGACCGTGGGAGGGGAAGTGGGCTGAGGCGCGGGCCGGGCCTCTCGGCGCACGCGCCTCCTGAGCCAATCGCCTGGCGAAGGCGAGGGGACCCGGCGCTCCGTGGATCACGTGCTTGCCGGCTCCCGGCCAGGCAGTTCCAGGGAGGGATGGTACGGTCCCTCCCCGAGGGGCGGGGCCTGGAGTCAGGGTGGTGGCGCTGGGAAGGGAGGTGGCCGCTGGGCACGCAGCCGGGGGCCATTGAGGGCGAGTAATTCTTGGCCCTGCTACCCGGGAGACCGGCGGCGGGGCGGGGACCCGGCTGGGTGGGGCCGAGGGGCGGTTCTCACCCTGGGGGAAACCAATGAAAAAATCAGGCCTGGCCCGAGGGGGCGGCACCGTCGGTCACATGCGCACCTGCGGCGGGCGGCCGCGGCGGCGCCCACACCGCGAGCTAGAGGCTAGGAGTGGGGCCGGGCTGGGGCGGGGTTAGGCAGGTGAGTGACAAGCTCCGGGGGGCCGGCCCCAGCTGCGAGTCCAGAACAGGCCGGGTGTAGCTGCGGCGGTGCCCGCCCCCTCTCTCCTCCCCTCCAGCGGAGCTGTTCTCGGGCCGGGCACCGTCGCGGACCCCCCTGGCCCGGCCACCTGGGACTGCGCTGGGGAGTCGGCCACCTCCGTCTCTCCCTTTGCCCTCAAAGTTTGTGGCGAAGCCGGCCTTAGGGCAGAGCGAGCCCCGGGGGGAGATCGGGGAGCACCCGATGACGGGCGGCAGGAGCCGTTGACCCCGGACACCGCTGTCCGGGGCTGGAGCGCGCAGTAGTTGACCGGCCCGCCGCCTCCGGTGCATGGGGCCCGGCTGAGGAGCCAGCATGGGCAACTGCGTGGGGAGACAGCGCGGAGAAAGGCCGGCCGCCCCGGGACACCCCCGCAAGCGAGCAGGTAACGACGGGGGAGGGAGCAGGGCTACGGGCGCCCCGCCAGTTGTCCCCCTCCTTGCCCGAGCCCTAGGCTTCGCGAGCGACCTCCCACGGCTCCTGGCGCCTAGGTTTCCCCGAAGGCTGCTACCGAGCCAGACGCGGGGGCCCCCTCCCCAGCCCTGGTGGCTGGAGAAGCCGAGTTGTGGCAACTGGGTGCGTTGACCCGGCTGCGAGCTCAACTCGCTCCAACTGGGAAGCTCCGGTGGGGGTGGGGGCGGCGGCAGGAAATGTTTGCAGACCGCAGCGGGGCCGGCGGAGGGGAGGAGGGCCCGGGGCGGGGGCGCCGCTGGCTTGGCCCCCGGGCCGGGGTCG